GTAGGGAAGTCAAATTCAACATAGATTTTAAGCCTTTTTTGGCCTTCTGAAAAAGGTAGGCGTCACAAAATTCTACAAGATAGTCAACGACATGTCCAGTAGGTAACTACAATCACATCTAGTATGTCAGTAAACGGAGTGATGTCTGATTTTTTTTGAAATTTTCTTTCACCTACTATGGGGATACTTGCTCAGGTTTTAGGAGAGTACAAATCAAGAAATCTAAAGTGCAGCTTTTCTTATCCTGAGAGTCAAGGCGCTTTTTTGTGTGTGTTTTGCTAATTACCTAACACTTAACACTGCTCATATAACACTTTGCTTTTTAACACTACTGGAGATGCATCGCATGATTTAAACAAAAGATTGGTGTGGCTGACGTCCAGAGATGGATGAGTGTCTGCAGATCATCTACAAAAATTCAGCTTCCTGGTATCCAGTAACGAGTTTTGAACCAAGTCTTCAAAGTATGATTTTGTCATGTTTTCATGTAGCTAAAGCTTACTGCGGGGTTACTCGTCTGTCTTTGTGGTTTTTTTCTGTGACCAAAACCAGGAACTTAAAATCACATTGTCCCAAAGGCCAAGCCTGCAAACTGCATTATTTTTACAGGACCTACAACCAAATAGGAAGATGAAACAAGAGCTGCAGAGGGTCTGTTATTAAAACGCCCCAAATGGTTGCCATGGCAAATAACAGAATAAGAGTAGTTTTCTTCCACTGAAGAGTATGCACAGGAAAGACTGGTCCTTCTTAGGCTAATCCTGTAAGTCTATGCATACAGATAAACTCATTCCTTACAGGATAGGGCCCCTACAGGGAGCTGGATTATTTGTGTGATTTGCTAAACTAAGGCAGAAAGTGCCAGTCCAAATATAAATGAGACTGCTTTGTGTGTGATACTGCTTACTAAACCGAAAGTTGAATTGCATCATTAGTAAGAGCTGCTGATGCTAGTTTTACATAAAAATTGGAACTACTGCTATTAATAAAATGGACCTTAGTGACTCTAACATTCTTCATTTTTTTTTAGCGAAGAAGTAAAGTTGAGTTTACAGGCGAAGGAAAGAAAGGGTATCTCTGTTTTAAGTGAAACCTATTTGGGAACGTGAACAAGTTAGAAGACGGGAGAGAATCTGCTGCTGAAGGGCAGTTTTCTACCCTCTGCACCTGCTGTGCAATCAAATTGTAAAGTTCATGGCTTTTCTCTCACAGTGCAGATTTAAGTTGCAGAAACTTTAATGCTTTTAAAATCCTAATCAACACTCAAGTAACAAGATCTTTAATACCAATTCAGAGCAACAGCTTCAGTTACTAATTAAGCCCTGTCACGTTTTCCCTGCAGCCATCAGACTGTCACTTGCTAGGATTCTTGATTATTCCACCCCTTTCAAGTGTGTTTGGGAATGAGTAAAGAGAGATTTTCTGGTGTGGAGGTTTTTTCGGTGGTTTGTTTTTGTGGTTTTTTTTTTATAATCCGTTTCTCTGACCCCTAATACTGACTTGGTGGTTAATTCCTCCTTTACACTTTGATGAAAATCCCTATCTGCAACTTGCAGGGGTTCCCTCTGGGATTTCTCCCCATTCAGGCTTTGTTGCAGTCACCGTCTCCGCTGGGACTTCATTGGTCAGAGACTGCGATAATGTGAAAAGGTGCCAGTTATGGTCCTGCTGTGCCCAGCAGGTCTCACTGTGTGCAAATACTGGTTAATCTACCCGTCTGTCTCAGTGAGCCACAGAAGGTTCCTGCCTATGTGGTAATTTGGCGGAAATAATGTGTAAAAAGAGGTGTGTGTTTCACCTCCCACATGCACTGAAGCGTTTCATGTGTATGCTGGGACCTTGTACAAGAGTTACACAAATCGCTACAGTATTTTGGTTGAAGTGTGAAATACTGTGAATGAAGAAATTGCCAAAATCATTCCTGGTAGCATAGAGCATATTGCTCGCACTCAGCACGTTGCTTGCCTTTACCTTTATATTACAGAAATTACTCTTAGCAACGAGCTTAAGGTGAATAGCACAGTATATCAAAATACAACAGGAGGCAGCTCACTCAAGATTCTGAAGACTATGTGTGATTTTGTTCTGGAATGCTAATGTTAGTAGCTTAGCCATGACTTGTCCCAAGTGCAATATTAGAAATTTTTAATGTAATCTTTTCTACTTGAATACAGTCTATATAAAATGTTGAATATCCTATATTGCTGAAAAGATATGGGATCAAATTTCTTTCCAATAAATCTTCAGTTAAAAAAAAATGCATACAGGTCTGCTTTGTTCTCATGCGTGCTCTTGCATACTTGTTGAAATAGCAATCACCGTCATCCTTCAGCTGATTTTAAAGACAATTCTCGCAGTCTGTTTTCTGAAAATTGGCTTTAGGTTTAATGTGGTTGCTGCAGTTTGAGTCCAGCACTTCATAAATGTTAACATTAACATATGAAGAAATCCCATTCTATTTTAAGTTGTAACCTTCTGAAATAAGAAATTTTGTGCAGCTTCTCCCTCTGTTTCACCAACTGTGCAAAGGGCAAGTTCTTGTTTTTCCAGGTTTGGACGTAAAGAATATTCTCGTACATCTGTATTCACTCCCCTGAGCATAAAAATGGATACAGATTTAACTGTTTTGTACACAAATGGCTTCTGTTGGTGAGAGAATGACTAAGTTTCTGGAAAGTCGAAAAGCAGAAGTTACCATGTGAAATACCCTTAGAACATTGTACACAGTAGGCTTGGTTAATGTTCTGCAGCAAAAGTGGTGCCAGACAGATACCTGGTACCCTTCTTCAGTTCTCCCTGCACTCCTTATCCCAGGCATCAACCCAAGTCTGATGTGGATGTCAATGAACTGGATCAGACAAAGGGGTTTAAAGGTTCCCGGAGGTGTCTGTGTGCCTGAAGCTGATACCAGCAGGTGCAGCTTGTGGTTTGTAGCCTCAGGTAAAAGCAGGTCTGTGTTCCTGCAGTGGTGTTTCTGAAGCAATATACAACCTACCTGCACTTAGGCAAGCACTAAATATTCACAGGAATAACTTCATGCTGTAATGAAATTAAAGATGAAATAAAAAGTTTAAATGCCTTATTTTATTTAAGTGGTCCTCTGAAATGCATTATTTTCAAAACTGGAACTATCTACAGAAAAAAGCTTAAGCATTTCTAATTCCAGAGGGTGCATAGTGCCTGTAACAATCAAGGAATGTAGGGGACCACCTAATTCCACTGTGGACATCTGGTAGAGTGTGCCTGAGGCAATCTTCTGATCCGGAGCACCCACACGGGCAAGGCCAACACAAATGGTATTTTCAGTAATTCCTGTAAGAACGAAGATTAAATGCTTAATTTATTGACTAATGGCCCTACCACCAAGGAAAAAGTACTCAAAATGATTAAGCCTGAACACTGCTTTCTTAAACCTAAGATTAATAAATCACTGAAGCGGCCTAGAAAGCAGCTTGTTCTTCAAAGAAAATGAAGCTGGATCATAGGGATGTTTGTAAGTAAGAACTGGAAGGCAGCAGAAGTCGACGTTGAATTCATTTATTCAGGAATTGTGTTCACTTTGAGGAAACTGCTGCTTCTGAGTCATTCTATATGAAGGATAAAATGAAAGGATTTTCATTTTAACAGTATTTAAGGAATAAACTTGTAAAAGGAGGAATATAGCTAGATGAATTTCTATTAGAATTTTTCTGTGACACAACTGAGTTATCTTTATAGCTGCTGTGATTTCATACTTGGTCTCAATAAGCATCTTCCACAGTTTGCTCTTGACTAGTGTTAAGAATTCAAGGTCAAAATCACAGTTCTGCATCATTGGGTTAACCTCGATTCATGCTGGTATTTGTGTAGAGCAGAGTGTGACCAGTCTAAATAAAAGGTAGCAGAGATTTTTGAAGCTCGACTGCTCTAAAATGCTCAGAGTCCTTCCAACCCCTGCAACTCGAAGGGATCAAAGAGCTCACAGTTAAAGACAGACAAAAGCAGTACAGGGTTACCAAAGCCAGGCTTTCATGAAACCTGCAGGAGCCACTAGTACTTGTTCAGCTGTGCTCGCTGAACTACGCTGTGATCAGGCTCTGCCAAATCTGTCTCATGACTAGGATTTAAGGCAGCCCAATTGCACTCCAGAGCAAGAAAATTCTAAGATTAAGAGGAAGGGAGTTCAGAGGCTCATCAGTAAGTGTAACTTGAGAGGAGTAGGAGCAGATAGAAACCCTGCAGCAATAGTACCTGATTCTTCTCCTTGGAGCCTCCTGTTTTGAATAATGGCAAGAAGTTGTTCTGCAGCTTGATTCACGCTCATGTAGCGTGGTGGCTCATATATCTTTTTTCCTCTGCAGGGAAAGAAAAATAGAGAAATTTCACATATAACCCACTTAATTATCCCTAGCATTCTTACAGTTTATTTCAAGAAACCTCTAGACCAGCAAATTGAACTCAAACAGGCCTAGGATCTCAGGCTTTTAGACAAAAGTGGAATTTTTAAGGAAGACAGAAGTTTCTTGTTCTCTCACCACACCTGTGAAACATCAGGGCCTCCAGCTGACAGAACATTTGAGGCCTAAAAGCAAATTCAGCTGCTGGAAGCAACATGCAGGTTTTGCAGCTACTCCTGAAAGATGCATTAAAGTCAAGGGCAAACTACTGTTTTTCTGTCAAACGCCCTGTAGACAGATGATTACAGACTAGAAATATATTCTTAAATGAAATGCTGCGTTCTTTGCCAACTGTGGATTCAGTCGAGCAGATTTTATTTTGAAACTCCAGAATAAACAAACCTCAATGATACTGTGAGACTTCACAAACGTTAATTTAGACCAGAGTTACAGCATGTGTATAAAGTAACCATTTATATTTGCCACTGTCAAAACACAGATTGCAGAGAGGTGATTGAAATGTGGCAAGAGCTTTTTTGAATGCAGATAAATGAACTTAAGAGCATTTTCAATATATAGCTTATTTAGCTATTTACAAAGGGTGGGGTGTATTCAGTACTTCACACTGCTTCTAGCCAGTGTAAGGAAGAGTGCATTCAGAACACTGTTTCAGCTATTAATCTATTTCAGGATGGGACATAACAGCAGTAAACACTTCATTTGCCAAGCGGAAAGCTTACCCTATTCTAACTTCTCACAGAAACAGTTGAAAAAAAAAAAAATGCTCTCAAGCACTTTCATTTAGTTACTTTAAATAAAGCCAGGTCTTACTGTCATGAACAAAGAAGTTCCACTCCTTTTAAGAAACGAGACGCTTGCCATTGAGAAGTACAAGAGGAGAGGGCAGGTAAGTTACAGGCAAAGCACCTATGTTCTTTGTACAAAAAATCCTTTGTAAATTCACTGTATGTTTATATATATTTCCAGAATGGTGACTCACTTCATTAGATTCTCCAGAGACTGCTCCTTCACTTTAATATCTGCAGAAGAAAACAGATATTAAAATGCCGGTTCCCTACAAACTTCCCACTTGATTTTCTATGTAGGCAAAGCTTATTTTAATTAGCAGATCTGGTAAACTTTGTAAGAGCATTTTAGCTATTACAGGAAAAAGCAATATGGATTAAATTCTACTGTTTAAGCGCAAAAGGGTATCGGGATTACTCTTAAATTATGTGTACATTGTGGTCCCAAAAGGTAGAAAAGTATGACTGATCGACAGTGATTACATCACGGCCAAACAGGAACCTGACTTTCGTTAGCACTTCCTGTCCCAATCAAAATTTAGAACAATCTTCTGTTATGGGAAGAAAAATAAAGGTTTTGGGGCAAAAATGAAATAGAGAAGGGGTCAGGTTAGACTCCGCACATCTGCAGATTTTTTGAAACTAATTGACCGCAATCTCTCCAGGAGGCAATCAAATGTTATCTGTATTCAAATGCCTGCAAAACACTATTATAGTGAAAGCTGGATACATTTTTAATCTTGATTTAGAAAAAAAAAAAAACCTGCTTAATTTACATGATCAACTCCTAAACCAAAGTGACTGAAGAAAGGGGTTTAAAATGTAAAGCTGCAAGACTGTTAGTGCACAGTTTACAAATTGCTTGTACGCCCATGGAGGCACTTTGAATTCAGAAGTTTATTAGCCCTTTTTTATATCACATTTGCTTATCTGGTAATCCAGTCTAGTTGGATAAACAATCAATATGTAGACGAGAATGACCAAGGAGTATTAGAAGAGCAACTAATTTGGAAATTGATAGTTTTCAGCTATGACCTACAATTAGATACAGGTACAACCGTCCCTGAAACATGATGCTCATAATGCAATTTTACTGTTTCAAAATTTTTACTTTCTCACTATTGCATAAAAAAAAAATAAAGGGAGACTGTAGAAATTATTATACAAAATACCTAAAGAATACTTTAACATCCTATAGTTGTAATAACTCTTTTTTAAAACACATTTCTTTAAAACAAATCACCACAAGTCTGATTTTTAGCCAATTCTGAAAACAAACAACTTTCAAGGCATTGGAAAATTTGATGTGCAGTGATGCTTACACATTTAAATTGTTTCCTGCTCAGGATTCCTACAGTTACCACAGAATTTGTTTTTACTTAAAATATGAACTTATTTAGCCCCAAGAGATCCCAGAAAGGTATATCATAGAATGGCCTAGGCTGGAAGGGACCTTAGAGATCATTTTAATCCAGCCTCCCTGTCACCAGGGACGCCACCTCTTGACTAGATCAGGCAACACATGGGGACTGAACGGGAATCGAACCCGTGACCTTAGCGTTGTTAGCGCTGCGCTCTACTGACTGAGCTAACCGGCCCCCTACATGTAATACATACAATTATGTATACAAATATGCAAATGCCTTATAGTTTATATGGAGGCAGTTCCATAATTTTTAAGGAGTTATCTGGACTAGTACAGTTACTCAGAAAGTAGCTTTATAGCTGAGGATTGGTGGGTAAGATAAAGCTCGGACAGCACCATGGCAGACCCTGGGCACAGGAGTCAGGCAGGAGCAGTTTTCCATTTCAGCTCCATGATCAGCAAAAATTTTTTACAGCACTGAAGCTTCTCGTGTGACGATCACCTTTTGCCAAAACATCCTTGGACGAGATAATTTAGGAAAGGAACTATCACCTCAGAAAACAGAAATGTGGTTTAAATGCATGATTTAGCTCGCCAGAAAGTCAGAAGTGTTGAGCTCTAACCTAATTAAGTCAATAAAAGAGAGTAGTCACTGCAATCTGATTTGGATCCTAAGCTTGATCTAGCTTAAAATCACACTGATCTTTGGATTAAATATGGGCCTCCTGCTCCTATCTGACTTCTACAAAGGCATGATTTCTTAGGGATTTTCTGAAGAGGAATTAAATTCCTGGCCACTTTAGCATGAACAATAGCTGAACTGCCTCCAAGTACACATATAGTAACCTTCCCATTTTTGGTATATTTTCAAAGATAGATGTTAGCTAAGAACATTTGTTTAATCACAAACTTCATCTCATGCCCTTCACTGTTGTTTCTGGACACTGCAGAAGACGGTAGCTAAGAAACCAGGGTCGCTGCTGCTTACCAAGTAAGCACAGTGTGTGCATTCCATTCTGATGGTTCCTCCTGATCTTGTCAAAAAAGCTCTCTGGCTTCCATGTATCTGTCCAGAAAACTATAGAAATGGTTTCTCCAAAATTGTACAACTGTAAAACAAAGTAAATGCAGTAACACACATACACAATGAGGAAAAAAAAAAGTAGTAGAGCATGAAAATCAAGAACAACTGACAACGCTGTAAAGTCCTGAGCCTTGTTAATAAAGAAGTCTTGTAGCACAGGGAGAGTGCTCTCCTATAAAACACTTAAGTTTAGTCTTTCATAAATACACAACAAAACATTGCATTCAAAATAATGTTTCCTTTTTAAAAGCTGCCGTATGCTCTTGACTAGTTCTAATGCATTCCTTTGCATTCCCTCCTTTCTTTTCAACATCTGTACTTCCTTAAGTGTTTTTAACTCTTCATAATAGAGATACACTCCTGTTCTTTTACTCTCCAAACAGTAAAGCATGTTAAAGAATGACTAATGAACTGCCTGTAAAGTTTTTATCTGTCTCTGCATTTCCCTTTTCAATGCATATCAACTAAATTTCAATCTACCTTCTATTCTTTGTTACGTAATTCTGAAGTTCTTCTAAAGGCAAAATGCTGTAAGACTAGCACAAAAATCAGTACTTATTATTTCTTGTTTTGGTTAAGCGTAGACAAGTTCTAATAATGCCATGATATTTACCATGTTTTGATTCTACTGATAGAGCAGTATTTATATTAAAACAGGACTTCCCTGCAGATGAAGGCTGTACCATGCAAAAGAAGTTACTGTCTAAAGAGACAGTGGATGTGAAGATCTGAAGAGAGAGACAAATTGCGCATGAAGCAGAGAGGTGCAACATTTTTTATGCACACATGGCAAGGAGAATGTTGCTAGCAGATTCTATGTCAAACACACCCAGTGATTTTATTCGCAGTCTTAACACTACTTATTAGTCCAAGTCCCTAATCTTGGTGAAGACATTTGAAGCAATAGTCTTGCCAATCATTTCCAGTGATGCAAAAGCGAAAGCCACATGTAACCTAAGGCAGTATTTGCCTTGGAAGTTTCTGTAACCAGTTTGAAAAAGGGTAAAACCATGCATCAATTTTGGTCAGCTCAGCTCTGGAATGGGGCCAGATGGAGTTTGCAGCTTGCCAATATTCTGTCTGCTTAAGCTCATGAGAGAAACAACGGCTCTATGGGCTGACCTCCCCACTCTCTCTGTAAACCTGGAAGGAAAAACTGCTTTTCCAAGGCCACTGTAGGAGCCACTGGGTGTGCTGGTGCAGAGAAGAGGACCCTATGCTGAAGCAGCTCTGTGCCATCTGGGGACTCCCCTACGTAATACTTATTTTACTGTGGCATTAGGTTGCGGTTTTAACTCCTTTACACTGGCAGAGCAGAATTTAAATCAAAGCAGAAAGATGTTTGTTTTCCAGGGAAAAAAAAAAGCTCAAATTTTAACCATTCATGCTGATTGGAACAGCATTTATTCAAGATTCCTGGAATATTACTGAAAACACTTCCTCTTTTAAATATTTCATTCTAGCACAAGAACACTCAGTGTACATTTCACAACCTAAAGGTTCTTCCAGTAAACTAAATATAGGTTGAACCAAATGCATTGCTCCTGATGTAACCTGTTAACTATTTCAAGGCTGCGTTTCAGAAAAACAATAAGCTGTTCTGCCTATTTTTCACGTGCTTAACTAGAACTCTTTCCATTTTGTACCAAATCTGAAGAAAAACTATTGAAACGAGGAGTTTCTCTTTTTCCCCTCTGCTGTTAGAGCATCTGAGAGCAAGTTAAACTTTAACCTCCTTGGCAGTAGACTATCAGTCATCAACAACTCCTGAAATGTCCAGTACCAACCCAAGGGACTAGTCTGCCACCTGAAAGCCACTGCAGGCATTTCCCAAAAAGCAGCAACCTTCCTCCAGCACAGAAAGTGGCCTGAGTTATCCTCACATCTCATCCCAGCCCCTCTGGCATTTTGAGAACCTGAAGGAAAGAAACTTCCACCTCTGCCTTTTAGCAAAGACAAGGAGGTGCAGAAGTGCGCAATCAGATCTTTTTTGGGAATCAGATCTTTTAAACCACTCTGCCATTTTTTAGAAACAAAATGGGCATTCAGTGTTATATCCTACAGCACTTGTTCTGATTGTTATTCTTCTCTTTTCCACTGATCATTACCAAAGATTCTCCATCATCTTTGCCAACCAGAAATAAGCAAGTTATACTTTTTGTGCAAGCGCTGCCAGTCGGATTCACTGAATCTGTCCTTTCTGTACCAGGTTTTGCATTACAAAAGCAAAGTCTCACTGTCAAAAAAGAACAAAACATTTTTGGCATAAATGGGGCATATTTTATTAACCTCCTAGAAATACCTTTTCAACCTCTCTACTAACTAAACTTCTGAAGAATACATTTCCTATCACTAATGCATACTACTCTGGAAACCTTCTGGTACAGCAACAGCCTATGAACGCTGTGAAACAGAAGCAATAAATGGATACCCCTATTGTGCTTAGCTACTTGTAACCAATTATTTTACAAGCACTTCCACAGACACAAAGAAATACTACTCATCCAGAGTGTGATCTCTGCAGATCTGTGACACTGATGGAAACACAGGCACTGCCCTCCCACCGAGCAAGCCTGCATTAAAGAAGCAACATATAACTGTATGAGAATTAAATTTTAACTCTCTCCCAGTACCTCACATGGATCAATTCATTCCTAATACAGGATCCTGTGCTGTGTTCTGATTTTTACCCCTTGAAATCTAGCATGAAGTATCAGACTTTCAAGAAAAGTCTTGCTGCAGCGAGAGCAGGAAGTACCAAGAACTCCACCACTAAGCTAAGGATTCAGCAGTTACAGGAGACAGCAGGGCCACTAGTGCCAGCACCCACTGAAATTAAAAAAGATACTTTCCACCAACTGTAAAAGACTGAATAGGGCCCCAAAATTCCCAGAGCCATGCTTATTATTAGACTAAAACTGTGACACGTGTTTGTTAACCAAGGTGTATTGCAGCACAACTAAGGATTAATGTCGTGCTCTGAGCCTGTTAAGAAAGGACAATGACAGGCCCTGTCTATTTTCAGTGACACGATCATGCTGTATGTACAGTGGCTGGCACAGCTTTAAAAAGAGGCAACAGCAAATGAAGTTTCGGTTTTCTGTGAGCTGCACTCTACATTAAGCAGCTGGGGTTTAGCAGTGGGCAAGACCTGCTCTGTACAGCTAAAACATCTCAAGCATCACACTAGCACTAATCACCAGATTTGTTGGAGTGCCTACCCTCTGCTCAGGCACAAAAGTGCCACAATTTCAAAGGGGCTCAGTGAAATGGTTGAGCAGACATTTCATGCTTTCAGCGTGGCAACTAACCTTCTTACCTTCTCCTCAATGCTCAGAGACTTCACAGAAAAATTTCAAAAGGTCATTTTGAAAGACCTCAGTCTTTGGAAACACCCCTCCCCCCGCCCAAGCAGTAATTGGCTTAAGCAAAGCTTTGTGCACTTGAATTTTGCAATGCAATAGCTGAAGCCAGGAGAGGAAGCCAGAACACTCTACTACAAAGCAATGCTCCAGATGCTCAAGTTTTCTGCCTCTCACAAAATACTGCAGAAAGCTGTTCTTCAACTCATGCTTTCATCACCTCAGAACAAGCTACAACTTCCTATTTTAATTACACATATAAGATGAAAGAATATCTGACAACTTTTGGTACTGAAGTGCCTGTTTTCAGCTAGTATTTTTAACCCTTATGTTAATGATATTTCTTACTTTACTTGTTATTTACATACCAAAATCGATTGCTAATTGAGAGGCCAGATTAAGCTGTAAGTGCTGTACCATAATCTCAGCTTGGAAAACCTGCACGTGGAATGAAGTTTCGACAAAACTACTGAGCAACTTTTTTAACGGCCAGTCTAATTGACATCAGACACCTGAAGCTGTCCAGATCAACAGTCTTCATTTAAAATACTGGTGCGGCTAATTACTACAAAAATACAGGGCATAAAAAGAAGGAACAAGCTGAGACTAAATAAAGAAATTTAAAAAGGAAGATCCCCATCCCATCTAAAAAGTACTAAAGCAAGCAGGAGGGAAGATGTAAAATAATATTAAAGGTCAGTAGGGTAACAGCTGCAGAGAAACCAAGAAGTAAACACTTCAAAATGCAGACATTTATTTTTAAAGCATCTTTCCCGGAATTACAGCTCTATCAGCTGCAATGGTGACAAAGCAATTCTTCACTTACGAATCTACCTCCTTTCCTAAACTTTCAAACAGCTTCAGAGCTGGATATATGTCAGAGGAAGAAGGTTAAAAGGAGTCTTATCATTACGTTTCTCAGACCTGGCACCTGTATGCACATGCAAACGCCTCTGAGCCCTGGAGGACTGAAACGCTACTCAGCTGTGTTCTGTGTTGAGATGGTCACTGTAGAGAGTTCTCACAGGACAGGTGTGTTCTGCAAATGAAGATGCTGTCCCGCCTGATCACACCTCACTGACAGGCACCAAGGGGCTGCTTCTCCTACGCCTGTTCCTCAATGGAATATGGAGACCATGGAGCACCCTGTGTTGTCCCTGGTCTATTCTTGATAAATCTCAATGAACTTCTAGGACATGTTTTGTTTATCCTGGCCATGACATTATGCTACGCAATGTTCATCCTCAAAAAAAGGAACCTAACAAATCAGGTTTTCCCCTTATCCTCCATAACCAGTTAACAAATCTCCAGACCATCATCAAAGAGCTCCTATAGTTCTATTATATATTTTTGCCAAAGTACAGCTTAGAAAGTTGGACAGTCAACAAAGAGGTAGCAAGAATCAGGCAAGCTTCATTTTTGCTTGTAATTGGTCACACAAAACAACCACAAGTCTAGCTCTAGCCCTTTACCTTATCTTATTTAGTACCACAGACCTTTAGCAACTTTAAATGCCTCTTATGAGAACCTTCACGTGAAACTGAAAGTTTTTACCATTCACACACATGGGGCTATGACTTCTTATTGTGCTGCCAGCCAACAGATCAGCTCAGTTTTCCAAAAAAAACCTCCAGTCCCCTTAGTACATGCCAGAGAGAAAGGAAATGCAAAGAAAAGGATGTTTGGCTGAGGGAAGCCCACTCTACATGATTGCAGTCTTCAGGAGGCAGCTGAGACAAATCACATAAAAACAGCTGAAGGGAAGAATTCATTTTTCTCTTGACTGCTTCCTGTATCAGCACTCAGGAAACAGCCCCTCCATGAGCAGAAGAAAATTCAGCTATCAAATGACTCAGAAACTCCAAGCAAACTCAAAGATGACAGGATTTTCCCTTGAAGGTAATGTCACCTTATCTTTAATAACCTCCTAAGACTCTTCCCAGAAATATCAAACAATGATTCCTGAAACAAAGATATCTAAATGGAGAAAAAAAATCTGTTCTGATTAAATATATGTTTCTGGGTCACATTTGCTAGTGACAAATAGCACTAAGGTGAAAAGCAGTGGTGAATAATGAAGTAGTGTGACTAGCACTGATTTAAGCTTTAATTGGTTTGAGAAAAAAAATGCCAGCTTCTAAAAGCTTCAGAAACTAGTAGTGAGAAAAACAACCAGGGACTGAAAACAGTTTGTTTCAACTGTCAGTGATTAAAAAAAATTTTTTTTTAGAGCTCCTCCTATTAGAATGAGGAGTATTTTTAAAGATCAGGTCACAGAGAGAGGGTGTAACTTGGAGGTTCCGCTCCTGCAGCTACTACAGGTTTTCTATTTGACTACTAGCACAATGAGTAATCACAGCATCCTTCAGCTTCCTCATCTATATTTTTCTACTTGACAATGAAAATGTACGCACCTATTCACTAAGGACTCAAAAATAACATAGTAAGCACTGCTTTTGCATTTAAATGATCAACCAGTAGTAAGAAGACAAAACTGTTCTATAACTGTAATTGCCTTACAAGAATTAACTGGATTATAAACAAAAAAAATCAAGATGAGTCACTGAAAGAAACAAGGGGACATGTAGATGTTTGCTCTAAAGCTATTCAGGTGGAAAGTAGGTATGTCTCAAAAGTAAGGCATGTCTTTGCCAAGACGTGTTTTTTTTTTTCTAACTGCCCTACCAACATATATAGTAAATGCTTTCAAAACTGGCAAACTCCCAAAAATTAGTGTCTCATTTTAGTCTTTTGTCTCATCCCATGGCCTGCCTCCCATTTTGCACTTTAGTACTTGATTCTCTTTTTTTATAGTAGTGCCATTATCTCAAGGCATTTCAAGTTGCAACACTCCTTTGCATGCATCGCAGGTCAGTAAGATGCGGAGTCTTCCTTGTGTGCCCAGCCATCTATACTGCTACCTCAAAGACACACTGCCGGAACTGGGGCAGAGCGAATTCTGTCCTGAGAGCACAGCTTCGGCCAGTGACCTTCCCAAACCAACCGAGATGTTGTGCGGATTAGGGAGGAACAAGGTGTAAATTAGAGATCCCGAGTTTTCTGCCTCATTGTTCTGCAGCTAAAAGCCTCAGCAATCTGCCTGATTCTGTACAACCGAGCGTGGGTACAGATAAAGCCATGGAAGTCAGGCAGGCTCTCCCTCTGTTCTCATCCTGCAATGCTGAAGCTGAGTGGGACAGAACCAAAGCAACCCTTCCTCACAGAGTAGCTGAGCAGGGGTATAGCAGAGGTAAGCCCGTTGCCTCAAACACTAAGCATTCCAAAGCTACGGAAATACAGTGTAGCTGCTGATGAGGAAAGCTGATCTGTCTCACTCGTTATTATTACCCACTAGAAGGACTCTCTGAGAATTCTGGCCCTCGCCTGGGGACTTCTGTTCCCTTCCCCTGACTTCCCTGGCAGTGTGTGCAGATACCACGCTACAGGACTTTTTCCACCGGTAGCTGTTCCCCACTACAACGGAGTCGGCGTGATCAACAAACACACCTACATGTCAGACTCCAGCCAAGAGAGGTGAACCTGTAGAGAATGTGTTGAGGCACACACACAGAGGCAGTTTTCCTGGCTTTATGCCGTGGCCATATTTATTTGGTTTTGAGGGTGAAGAGTATAAAAGAGGAAGCCTAAGCAAGTCATAGAGCCTTATGCCCACGTAGACTAATATTTTGCTAAGTTTACAGAATCACAGAATGTTAGGGGATGGAAGCGACCTCAAAAGATCATCTTGTTCAACCTCCCTGCCAGAGCAGGATCACCTACAGTAGGTCACACAGGAATGTGTCCAGGTGGGTTTTGAATGTCTCCAGAGAAGGAGACTCCACAACCTCCCTGGGCAGCCTGTCCCAGTGTTCCGTCACCCTCACAGGGAAAAGCTTTTCTTAACGTTTTTGTGGAACTTGCATCCATCACCCCTTGTCCTATCACTGGACATCCCTGAGAAGAGCCTGGCTCTGTCCTCCTGACACTCACCCTTTACTTATTTATAAACGTTATTATGGTCACTTCTCAGTCTCCTCTCCTCCAAGCTAAAGAGACTCAGCTCCTTCAGCCTTTCCTTTGAAACCTGTGCAGCTTTCAAAACAGCAGTTAAATGAGCAAGAGAGTAAAACAAATAAAGTATTGGTAAAATACATATGGAACTTTCTTTACAAATTGGCAGGAAATATACCTATAAATTGAAGGTGACAAGCCACCACTAATATTCTACTGACTTCAGTAACTCACTACTGTACAGGAAAACTGCACAACAACTAGAATGTTGTTGGCTGTACAGCAACATTGCTCTGGTGACAAGAGACATGTTCTTTTGTGAACAGACTGGGTTGTAGCTGCATTTTACTGAGGGAGGGCCTAATCAGCAGTTACAGCTCACTACGCACATGGCTTTCAGAACAGCATATAAAGGTGTTTCCTGTTTTTCTCTAGCAAGAAAGAAAGAGGTTTTGTATCACAATCAGATTAAAACAAGAAAAAAAAAGCCAAGCCTTTTCTGTGGTGAAGCAAAAGAGGAATCCCTGCTATACTTGACAGCAACTTTGCAATCTGAAGCACAGTAACTCCAAAACTAAATTGATGGCAGGAGACAGCCGTGAACATAAAGACTGTTGAAAGAATATATAAATTTTCACCACAACTCTCATTAAATCACACGCTTTTTTGTAAGATACCCCTGACTTGTGGTTTGTGCTTATACGGAGCAATGAAGAGTTAAACATACAGCTGGTTATAATCTGTCCGGTAATACAATATGATCCCTATTTCCTAAAATGCTTTATACAACAACAGGAATGTTGACTTATGAGAAGGCAGCCCCTCCCAAGCCAGGATGGAAAGGGAGACTAATGCCAGAGTGAATAACATCACGTTTCCTTCATGGTCCGTTCCATTCAGCGTGGGATAAGGAATAAACTAATCTTCAACACTCTGCAATGTGAAAAACCTTACGGGCTGCTCGCAGTATATGTCTAGTTAGTTTTCTGCTCTTTTTTTCAATTAATGTAGAAACTCTGTACTCCTCCTTCCTATGCCCAGCTGGAGTTGCGGGGAAAGTAGACTTTCTGAAAACTTAAGTCACCTTGCATCTTCCTTCGTAATGAATGTAAAGGAACAGTAGTAGAAAGTGCTTGTCACCAGCTTGACAGCAGAAACAAACTGCACCACTACGAAGCCTTAAGGGGAAAGGGTGAGCCCCAGCTTCAATTCTTGTGTTACTCGCCCCATAACGCAGTCATGTGAGAGCTGCCATTCTGCTGTACATGTAGATTTTCAACACCAAGGAGCCTATTTCCTTCCTAAAAGATAATTTTGCCCAAGTCGTATAGCAACAGGCAGGAATCACAAAGAAAGTGCTCACGGGAAGAATTATAAAGAATGAGAACTCTGTGCTGCATTCCCTTTAGCATTAACGCTCACACCTCAGAACAGGTGTCAGTGCAGTGTTGCTGAACTGCAGGACCAGGCAGGGCTCTCTCCTTTCTTTTGATCACATTCAGATCTTTCGGCTGCTAGGCAGTGTTGAAACAGGGGTCTTGTGTTCGTCACTGTAAGACTGAAGGTGTAAGTTGTCTGTAGAAATTTTTTTTTTAAATGGTGGTTTTTTATGGGAATGCTTCCTCCTTCTGTGGTGAAAACTTACTGTTCAAACCCTCAACTTTGTCTGTAGTACAGTTACATTCCTGTGTTTTGATCAAGTAGGAGCTTGGTTTAAGGGTTCCCGTACACAGGGATCCATTCTGAACCTTGAGAGGGCAAGTTCTATGTTAATGAGCGAAAACAGGAGGGGGAAGCTTCAACTAATTTATGTGACTAGTTACGATACAGAGACTGCTGTAACATTTTTCATGCAGGAAAAGTAATAATGGACCTATACATGTGTAAAAGGAAGTAGTAAAATATTTTCTTGGAGGGACATTAGACCTTTTCTACTTTAGCCACTCAAGAAGCACAAAAACTATCATGTGTTCTTCTACTCCCTGGCTAGGAGACAGATCAACTTTGGAGAGAAAGAAAGCATCATATACAAGATTTGGGAATTAGTTACTATCTGAGTTGGGCACACAGGCAGGCTTATGCACATATTCCTTTTATGACAAGACCAGCGTACTTCTCAACAGGATAGCAACCTAATTTAAGAATAAACTTATCAGGTGACCATCAGTAGTAAGAGGAAGCCAACAAGAGCAAAGCTTTATCTGCAAAATAACTTAATATCAAAGTCTCCTGGGACAGAGGGAAGTTAGACAGCAAAGAATAGAAGCATTACTGTTCATTTTTACATGTGCTCATCAAAAGGGACTTTTGCTGACATGTAGCACAAATTCTGACAGCAGAAGTGTACAGTAGGTACAGATCTTCAAACTTAAGATTGCAACATGCACTGCTACAGCAGTAGAAGAGCTCATCAATTCTAAGTTTAGCAGTTGTGGAACAGCATAGATACAAAAATGTTACCTGTAAACCACAGCAGCCCACTGCATTCATTATTGAAGCATTATGAATGACTGTGTATGGAATCCCCAATTTTACTGCACGTAGTACTAAATCACTGTGTGTTGTGGCCCTGTATTAAGGAAAGAAAGGAATTAAAGACTGCAAAGATAAAGTGACCAAGTGTTACCAGCATTACAGTGTGTCTTGAAGGTAAAATAAAATAAAACTAGCGCATGCAGAGGTGCCAAAAGGACAACAATAACTTGATCAGTTGTTACGGGAAAGTAAAAACTCCAGTAAAGCTCCCACATGTCGTCTTCCCCAGCTGAAAACACAGGCATCCTCAGTACATTAGGGCTCTTTACAGCTTTCTGGCATTGTTAAAACTGTAACACCAACACAAGTAATTACTTCTTAAAGTAGCTTTGGCAAGTACTTGAAAAGGAAAGTTCCATTTATCCTTTGTCTTTTGCAGGTGTCTGTTGGACATCTGTTGAACTGTAATGGTCAACTCTATCTGGCATAGACTTCAACAAAACTCCAACACTTCCTTACTCGTTGCACAGCCAGGCCTTCTCCCATCTGCATCAGCGCACGGGCGTAAAGCAACCCGCACAGACTAACACTTTGAACAGACTGAGGTAAACTGCATGCAGTACTTGGAAAAAAACATCCTCAGACTAAATCATCTTTAAGCAAAATTGCTCAAATTAACAATGCCTACGTTCAAGGGATCAAGTTTATTCTGAAACAATTAAGAAAATTCTAGTTAAGCTTAGAACTAAGCTTAATTTGGCTCCAGGACTAATGTCTAACAAACAGCTTGCAGTGGCTGGTGCAAGAATTACTGGGTTTATAGTTAAAACAATTGGGATTAGAGTCCTTCTAAATTGGTAAGTATATATAGATCCCGCAAATCTTTGAACTGCAACAGTGTTTACATACATATTTTGCACATATGCTTACATAAATTCTAGTTAGTCCATTTTCTGTGTGAAATACAAAAATACACCTACCCCTTACCTAAATTAATCAAATCCGAACAATGGCCTTAGCCCTCACACTCCCAAGATGTACCACACATTTCTGTGTGGCTGTGCCAAAGACAGAAGCAAAGAAAGAAATAGCATATACTGATCAGAATAATTAAATAGGAAAACTACACTCTGGCCTGATGCAGTTACCCTAACAAAACTCCTCTTGGTTTTAGTCAGGATCATTTTGACACTGCCTGTCTGACTAGCACCAATCAGCAGATCAGGTGCTTCAGACTGGAACACAAACATGTCAGCAGCTGGCAAGGCTGTAAGGATTAATCATGTAGAGGAGAAATCAATTTCACTAGAGGAAAAAAAATAGAGGAAACTGAATCTGGGAAATCACAGACCCTCCTAGACCTAGGAGAATGCAGTAAACCGAAAATCAACTATGCTCCTGACTTCCACAAGCAGAGTGATTTAAGAACACCTGCTCTAAAAGAGGGGACTAGTTTTACAGCCTTGTATGATTCCCTTCACACACACAGGACAAGGAGCACTGGAGGATTTTATGGTTATGCTAATTCTGACCAAGGGATCAGCTGGCTTTATTCACTGAAATTTGCTCCAGCCTGTATTTTCTCCCAACAGATCTGTCCATAATGACTGTAGCTAAAAGCAGAAGTGCCCTCAGGAGCACCCAGCTAGTACCAGCAATGGCTTCGTGGAGCCAGCCCTCCGCACCAGAGCTAGACTGATATTTTCTGTCACTGTACAGATTTTAAGTTTTATGGGTAGTAATAATATGAATGTCAGCACCAGGCTAGTTGAAGCGAAACTTTCCAGCATACCGCTAAAACTGTCAGGCTCCTGTTAGCACATCCATAGCTCTTACCACATATGCAGCTAAAAAAATTGCAGTGAACAACTGTGAAAAGAATGACAGGGGCACAGCTTGTTTTATCACTTTAACCGTTGACTACCAACACTGGAGATTTCCTAAGGCTGCCAAGTTCTATTCTAACCTGCAAATATACTTGAAACTCTACAATCAGCTGCAGTCAGATGGCTTCTATCCTCCTCCCATATGGCTCCTCTTAGGACAGAAACATCTAGTAGCCTCATGAACCCCTAAATCCTTAGCAGCATTATGTGGGCATAGGAGCAGTTCTAGCTGCAATAGTAAGAGCTAAGAACATGAACATTTAGAGAGAAGCAACTCATCCAAAAAAAGGGTAGTTTTCTACAACAATGTAGTATGTTAATCAGAATTGAAGTATTTTGACATTGATACTGATGATAACTGAGGCGGATGAAGATACTGCTTACAAGTAGCAGATTTCAGTACATCTAGGCTGGTTTCTTTTCATCTTGTGTACTTACATCAGTTAATGGTTCAGAGCACAAGGGTACAGGTAATGTGGCTGTTCACTCTACATGAATCCTAATTTTAATGTTAATGCACTGAAAGTATAATTAATATTTCTGAAACAAAGCATCATCTGCCCATAAGTACTAGTTTAATATAGTATTCTCTTGCCAATTCTCTTCAACCTGTATTTACATAAATTATCTGCTTTTGATAGATGTGCACACTACTCCTTTTTCATAAACTCTCTCCATTTTTTCACTCACAAATAGAGTGCTCAGTGATTTGATTTTTTTTGTGCCCCTGAACACTGTGGTATGAATCTCGGATCACCAGCTGGAGACTAAAAGGTCGTCTGTATGGCTTGACACTACAGATTGATGATGCCTGACTGAAAAGACAGAAGGAGATCCTTCTGGTGATAGAAAAAGACTATACTTTTCAAGTGGAAACAAAAGGCTTAATAAAACAAAATGAGAAGACATTTATAACAACCTAAGTGATTTTAAACACTAGCGTGTATCAAAGCAGAAGCACTGTACAACCAACAATCAGTATTCCTTCTAAAACATCTGAGCATAAAAGCTGCAGTTTGTAAGTACAAATAGCAACTAAACCAACTAAAAGAATACTCTCTCAAAACATAGCACGTCTTAATTATGTGATATCCTCGAATTTCTTCCACTGGCAGATGAAAGCTGGAACAAAATACTCTCTACGAGAGCTAGCATGGAGAACCAAACGGTAAGTGACTGCTGAAGGAAAGATTTATACAAGGGTCCACATTCCTACCTGTAAGGGATATCTGAGCAAGGAAACTCCAAAGCAAGAAAACGTACAGATGATTACATATTATTTTTAATGCAACAAAAAATATGCAGTACAATATATAAAAATACAATATGCAATATAAAAAGACATACAAAGTGCTTTTGGTCTGAAAATCGGCTAGTTCATAAAGAACTACAGTTACACAGTATGGCTCCTTCCCATTGAAAAAAAGAGAGTGATCAAGCTACAGCAATAATTAAAATGCTGCTTTTTCTTACCCAAAAGGATCACCAACTACAAGAAATGCAACATCACAAACATCAGCTTCTTTTAAAATGCTATCTGCTTCTTGTTCCACTGCTTCTCGGTCAGCCAAAATCAGTTCTTTTCCATAAAACTCTTCCTAGAAATTGAAATTGATAAGAAAAAAACAAAATAAAGCATTTAAGAGTGTTTTTATATCTCTCTGGATGCTCACTCAGGAACAGAAACAACGGACACTGGAAAGGCCAACTTCATTATTCTCCCCAGCAGTCTAAACCATGTCTTAGAAAACCCTGCCTCCCTTTGCAAGAAACCCTGAGTTTCCCTTAGAGCAGCTCTCAAGTTGCCAAAAATTAGTCAAGCACATTATTCTGATATTGGCTTGGGGTTTTATGCCTTCCGCGTCAGTCGACAAGCTGCGCCAAAAGTAGCTCAATCACAACTGTTTACTGAAGGTACCTAGGTGGACGTCATGTTTCCATAAAAAAGTCCATCCCATAACTAGAGCAGTAGATATGGAACCTCTGTTACTGGGTTCAGTTCCCTTTTCTAAAGATGATTTCCTCACCATTTTTGGATAAGCTTCTCTACCTCTGCAGAATACGGCTATTATATTCTTTGGAAAACAGACTGCAACCTGTACAGATTTGACAGAATGGGGACCGAGTAAATCATAGACTTATAGAATGGCCTAGGCTGCTTCCAGGACCTTGGAGATCATTTAATCCAACCTCTCTGTCACCAGGGATGCCACCTCTCGACTAGATCAGGCAACACATGGGGACAGAATGGGAATGTATCAGCAGATCTTATATCTGTGATTCAGAATGGTTAACGGCCACCCTGGAGTACTGCTGGTGTCTATGCTAAACAAACTACAACAAATTTTGACACATTTGTTTTTATTGGGTATCTTACACTAGATGCACATTAGCAAGTAGGACAGCAAAGCAGGAGCTGATCTGTAAAGCAAGTGCTGAGAACTCAGTAACATTTCTTTCAGTAGGTTCACCACTGGACTAGACTACCTTTGGCCAAGTATTGTAAGCAAATGCACACCACAGAGCATATTAGGTGCGCTCCCAGAAGCACACTTTTCAGTTTGTTTTCATCTAATAGAATCTACGTGCATGCTTTGAAATGACTCCACAATGCAAATCAAAGCATGTTAATTAGAGAATACGTAAAAAGCACTCTCCTGATCAAAACTAAAATGTAAGCTCACTGGAGGTTGCTGAGTCCAAACAGTTCTTTCACCAAACTGAAAGTCGATTGACATGCTCAACATCAAACAGCTTTTAATATGCATTTGAGGCCAACAAGGTAAACTAAATTAGTCATGTTATTTGAATTTTGAGGTCTGATTTTAAAACCATCAACATAAGAAGTGTTCTAGAAAATCCCTGCAGCAAAGAATCTATTCTTTATCTCTTTGAGAGCCTTCCTATAACTTCATGTTGCTTAGGAGAGGCTGACCTCCAGATTACTAAATAAACCATTCCACACTGTCACTCATATGTAAACTGGGCTACATCATCAACACTTTGTGATTAATTCCTACATTCCCTCTTAAGCAGTTTCAGATAAGACAGCATTGTTTATTTTGTTTTTACTGATCACTTTTCACAACTACCTCATCTTTGGGACTTCAAGGTTTTCAAAAGACTTACACTAATAAAAGGCAAAAGAAATAGATGCCCCAAAATAATCACACAACGAATACTCAGCATTTTTCTATTATTCAATGTTTTATTTTCAGCTGGCTAGGAATCCATAATTTTTTTTTGAAAGCAAATAACTTTGCAAAGTAAAAATAGAATCATAGAATGGCCTAGGCTGGAAGGGACTTTAGAGATCATTTTAATCCAACTTCCCTACCACCAGGGACGCCACCTCTCAACTAGATCAGGCAACACATGGGGACTGAACAGGCATCGAACTCACAACCTTGGCGTTGCTAGCGCCACACTCAACTGACTGAGCTAACCAGCCCCCTTATTTCCAAGCCATCATTTCTGTTTTGAAATTTTCCAACTGTCCAGGAACAAAAAAACTATTTTGTTTTCAACTGATCAATTTCAGTTCAGAGTTCTTCAATATACTGAAGGAATACTATACAGCTTATTCAGAGGCGAGACCCCCCATTCTGTGGGTAGGTAAGCTCGTTTTTTTGGTGTTATTTCAGCATTGAACTGTACCTTTCCATGGCCAGTAAACCCACCAGAATTGTAATTTGTACATTTCTAATGCTGTCTTCTTCCACGAAGAGTGTTAACTAACAAAAAATTATCTCAGTGCTGTTTCACAGCCCATCTCTGACTGCACTGTGGATGTTCGGGAAGTCTCAGCTTGGTAAGCCAGCCTGGCCCCCACCAGCATGGAAATGGGAGGCACTCACGTTGTTATTCCCAGCCGGCACACCGTACGTCAGGCTGATTCGGAAGTTCGAGGCTCCAAAACGTGTATTTTGCGGTTATGCCTTTTGATTTATTTTGTTTTGCTTTTTTTTTCTAACCAAGCTCTCCAGCGTTCCCGGATCTCCATGTTAG